AACTGGTTACCTGCAACATAATGTTATGAGTGTGTTACAGATTTAAGAGAAATTAATATAGCTAAGGCATATTTTGATGCACTGAAAGCTACACCACTAAAATTAGTTATTATATTAAGCTTTCTTAGCTACCATATAGATTTTACTGGCCACATCTTGTGCAGCTTTATTTCAAAGTCATCCCAATCTTCTGGCTCTGATCCCAGCAAGACATTTTAAGACTCACTACTTCTACAGACATAATCTGACACTGAATATTCTTAGCCAAATAAACATGACTAGTATCAAAGATTTTGCTTGAGCAACATAGTGAGTGTAATGACAGAAACATGCAGAAGATAAAACATCACAAGACTGACACACAGCACAGTCAGCAGTCTGGCAATAGTTAAAAAAGTCTCTGTGTAGGCACTTAGCAGATGTAAGTTACTTCTGCCAGGATAAGCCTTAAGACTTCATCTTTATTGAAACTGGCTTTGCTGACATGTGCTTCAAAGCCATTGTGTGAATACTCTCCAAAAAACTGGAAAGAACAAAGGGAAACATGGCATACAGGATGAAGCCTTATTTATCATCCACTTATGGAGCTCAGGCTGCATGAACAAAATACACAGTCATGATATATAAATGCATCTGTCTTATTTTCAGGCTTAAAGATCCCAGACTAAAAATGCTTTCCTTTCCCTTCTTCTCCATCATGCCTGCTTAATTCATGAGAATCAACTGACTAAAATTCAGGACTTGAGAGTTTCACTTGAGAGTTAAAGAACAGAAGTCTTTTCCTTGCAGTGCAAGGAACAGAAAAAGACTTGAGCCTTACAGTTGATGATGTGCTTACAGTTCCACATATTAATATTCTGGATTTCAACCTAGCCCTTTTTATTTGCATAGAAAGTTTTTCATTGCTGTTTTGTCATATGGCAAACCTGCTTTGGCAATGTTAATTAACAAGGAGCAAAGTTAAATAAAAAGGAGCAATGTTAATTGCTCCTTTCCCTCAAATTGATGAAGAAAAGTTCCTTTAAAGAAAAAAAACCAAAAACCAAACCATCAGAAATTCTATCTGGATTGTAAATTCTGTCCTGGTCATATATTTTATGTACAACATTGAAGTGATTAAAGCATATTCTGCAAGACACTGTGACTTACAAAATGGAAGACTGTGAGAAAAACAATCATGGGGTTGTTTTTTATTCTAAAGCTGGGCTTAAAAAGAGAGGACACCACACACCAATATCTGTAAAATCAGTATCATACAAACAAAAAAACCAACTCAAAGAACTAGTTCTGACTAGCTTGGTAACTAGGCTTTAAGTGTTGTGCTTGGAGATCTGGCCAGTGTGGTGCCAGATTTATGTGAAGCTGAACTGTCTGCAAATTGAGGTACAAGTTTTCCTCCATATGGAAAGAGCTGCTTTCAGCATTAACTGCTCAGAACTATAAGTACAGATAAGAAAACAGCAGGTGAAACATTTGTGTGTACCAGTAACACTGCTAAGGGTCATAGCTGTTTTATGCTGCCTTGAGGAGGTAATCAGGCATGAACAGGGATGAGCAATGGATTTACTCAGCAGGATTGATTACCATGCAGTAAAGGGGAGGTAAAGTGATGCTGAGCTATATAAATGAGAACCATTCTAAACATATTTTAATAATATAATTTTCTCCTAGATGCAAACAGAATTCTTTGAACTAGCACAGACTAATAAACAGCTCTGTGCACTGTTTGCTGCTTGTCTCCTCCTGACAGGATTCAGAGGCAGGGTGGAAAGGAAGAAGGCAGAGATCCAAAAGGTGGAGTTCGGTTATTTGCTCATATCCAAGGGTTTCATGTTGGGAGTCACAGATATCAGTGCTGCATCTAGATTTATGAGATGCATTTTACAGAAGGTGAACAGTTGTAGTCCTTGAAAACATGATGCAGTGTCAATTTAAGGGAACTACATTTTTGGATATAAACTTCTGAAAGCATCAGAAGACCATGACATCTGCAGGAAGCTGCTACACAGAAGTAATTAATAAGGGTTTATTCTTGATGAAGAAATAATGATCATTTGGGGCTTATAATAGGATTCCTGGAAATATATACATCTATATCTCAAAGTGCACATCATTGTCCCAGGTCAGCTTTACACTGCATAAACAAGTAATTTTTTTCACAGACAGCTAAACCTTTAATAAAGAGGGTAATGCTGTGCCTGAAACCTGTTCTTCAGTAGAACAGTGAAAACAATCAGCAAGGCTCCTATGACAGTCCCCCATGCAGTCCCTTGACACAGGGGATCTGGGGCTCTCACCCTGTCACTCTCAAGCACCACCTCGCTGCCAGCACACAGGCATCTGTTTCAGCTTTCAGGTCCTCATGCACAAAATATGCTCCCCTGAGGGTAAAGTCCAAATAAACACCAACTCTCTTCAAATGAAAGTGTCAGAGGGTCTATATCCTGGGCATATGGATCTCAAAATCTTCCAGCAACTCCAGTCATTCTTGTGGCACTTGTACACTTAGAATAAATACCTCAAGGAAGAAATCTGATTCCTTCTCTTGGCATTCTTTCAAATACCTTAATCATTTGGCAGTGTTGCTGCATAGATAATGATATATATAAAATAAAAGGCAACACTACTTATTTTTACCAGCCTTTGCTCTCAATTCTATCTGCCAGTGCCATAGGACTGTGAAATCCATTTGCTGCACTAGGTTGCCCACGAGATGGTCATCTGAAATGTGCAAAACTCACCACAGTCAACCATGTGCAGTGAATTATTGTTAAACATGTGATAAACCACTGAAACAAATTACCTTCTTTATTTAGCAATATGCCTTGAGAACAGATTTTCTAGTTTAAGGGGATAGTTCTGTCCATTATCCCATTAGATACACATTGCTAGAAGGACCCTGGGCATCCAATTGCCAAACAAATGACTTAAGCTATCAAAGGCTCTTCAAATAACATCAGTCCCTTCTGCTCTTGATTATTGAAGAATGGCCTCATAAAATATCATCCATTAGATCAGAGTACCAAAACAAAATGAAAAGCAAATAAGAAGTCCCACTTCCTATCAACATCTCACCAAAACTCACATTCCATATACCTGCCAATATTTCTGAAATAGTTACGCCACCCTGATTGTTTCCTCACAGCAAAAGTTTTCAGAATGATCTTTCACAACAAACCACATCAGAGCTGGCAGGGCATTCTAGTGCAAGAAGACATTGATAGCTATGCATGGGCAATGAAAAATTCAATGTTCTGACTCCAGATGTTTCCTGCATTTAGCATAGAGGAATAATTACTTCTTTTCTCTTCCTCTGTTTATTTTGGTCTAATAAATTTTGAAACACTGAAACATATACTAGAAATTTTGGCCTAACCCAAAACATTTTTAAAGGCTTGACTGAATACAAGAGTTATATACAAAGCTGTTGCACATTAATATGGTGCTCCATTTAGAGCTGTATAAATACTTCTGCTAGATTGGATCTGTAACATCACACAGAACCAAAATCTGTTTCAGTATGATTTTATGTAGCCAGAATTTTTCAACAAGTAAAAATCAAGTATCAATTATGGTGAAATTTTGAGATTTGACCTCACATATAATAAATGCTGCTTTGTAACTTTATTCTTCCTTCTTCCAAAAACTCCTCATTTTGTCTTAAAAAACAAAGAACTATAAAAGAACATTAAATTAAAGTAGGAAGTGTTGAGCAAATGCGTGAAACTACATAGCTGGTCAGTCTCTAAAAAAAAGCCCAAAACACAATGTGGTAAGTGAAATAGTAATGTCAGAAGAAAATAGTTCTTTACAGCATAAGGCTGCTGTTCCCAAAAAAAAAAAAAAATAAATGGATCTCAAAGCTTTGTATACCTTAGGGAAAGAGATATCTTGCAAGTTCAGTTCTGCTCCCAGTTGGTGTCTCCTAGAGATACATCTATATCTGCCAGCCAAGAGCATAAGCTTTATTCTTCCAAGAAAATATATTCATTTGATTTCATACACTGCTCTGGGCTCCCAGCATTAAAAGCAATGCCAGCATTCAAACACTCTTAGCTTATGCTTTTAGTCCTTAGCAGGTACAGCACACAAGAAACCAGCAGCAGAATTCTGCGTTTGTCTTCCAATCCACTTATTTAATGTGTCTTTGTTCAAACACCCATCCTACTGCAAGTTCACACCATGCTTCTAAGCCTTCTCTGAACTTGCAGAGCTGGAGTGACATGGCCTAAATAAACCCAGCAGCCAGCAGAACATGCTGTCACTGTGAGCTGGGTCAGAGCTGGGATGGGAAATCCCCAAGGATCCCATTTCAGTCACCCTTGGAAACTGCTCCTCTGAGATTTCTTACAGGGCTAGCTACACGTACATGTGCAGGCTAGACATCACCCTATTCTTCCAACTGACTTATTTATTATTTGTAGTTATTTTATGAGAAAAACTGCTTACAATGCAGGAGCAAACCGAAAATTCTATGCTAGCATATTACATGACCATGAAAGTGCTTTAGTGATTCAGGTGAGAACAACAGATGATCTCCTTCTGATCATACAGCAGGTAGTGCTTCCTCTAATTGCTAAAGAGGTTTCACAGCAGTGATTAGCAAGCCAACTTCTCTGCCTTGTCCCAGAGTCATGAAAATAATAGTCCCTACACAGGACAAAATCAGTTTCACTAAACATGTGAATTTTCAGCCATTCATCTTCTTTCTCAACTTAATGAAAAGAAACACAAAATGCTTCTATTGCTTGCTATTTAACTGTTGACATCTTTGATTCACCTAGATCAGTTTAATCCCCATACCAGTAAATTTATTACTTGTTGGAAAAATCCATCTTGTTCTTTAATTCTAAGAAATGTTCAAGCAGTTCAGTGTACAAGAATCATGTTCAGACACAGCAAAAGAGGAAAATTACAACCTACTTAGGGTGAAAACCATAAAATCCTTTATTAATCTGATAATATGACAGACTAATCCATTGGTGTGGGTTCTTTTTTACCTCAATAATCCTGTCATGAATTTGCAGGCCTTCTGCTTTGTCTGCAGGTCCATTTTCCAAAATCTTTGACACATAAATTCCCTCAGCAGATTCCTCCTGGTTGTTCTGTATCAGGCAACAGGGTAATTGCAAAAAGATCCACATTAGTACAAAAACTGAGAGAGTACTAAAATCAGCAGCATTAAAAAATGTAAATCCATCTGAAACATGCAGCTCATTTTTTTAGCTCCTTGAATTAAGAATTAAGCTCCTTGAGATTTTTTTAACTTGCTTAACACAAAGTAGCTATTAATCAAAAGGACAGAATTAATGAACTATTCCAGCAATTTTTATAAGATTATCCATTTACTTCCGGTTATTTTAGTCTAAATGAGACACAGTGTGCAACAGTAATCTGATCCCAGCTGAAATACTTGGAGCAAACCTCAGACTTCACAGCAGCCAGTGACTAGCACATAAATGCACAGTGGAAGACACTCATAAAAATGGATGCACAAGTGTTTCTCTCAGAAGGAAAAGGGCCCCTGCAGTACTGCTGCTTGCAAACTGCCTTACTGCACTTGAAAATAAAGCTCCAAGGAACAAAGTGACATGAGATAGCTGGCACGTAACAGTGAGAGGATTTGGCTGGGACTGGTTAACCTCATAAATCCTGTTCACATGGGAGATTGAGAACTTGCTCAACTATGAAATCCACACAGACGAGCTGTGGACAAAAAGAGAATCCATCTCCAGCTGATCTCTATGCAACACTAAGTACAACTCACATGAGATCAAATTTAAACCAGACAAATTATCTACCACAGCTGCAATAATATAACTGATGTTGGAATTACTTTATTTCATCACACGATAATTAAAAGTATTTTAAAATAATTATTAATAAATAACTAATGTCAAGCAGACACTGCCTACTTACAGGGTTTTAAATGTTTATACAAATAATAACCTAGCTAGCAATAACTGAAGCAATCTTTTTCCAGCCGATTTATGCTTTGGATTGCAGTTTATATGATGCTTATTTTCCTTCTGTGACTGGTGAATCCCTGACCAATAGCCCAGTTCATGTGTGCACAGGTCTAGATCCTATACACTCATGGGGAAAATGCTTTATAACTTTTTCTATTAAGGAAACTGTGAAGACATGTAAAACATACTTTACACAATGTGGCAAAATTCCTATGGAGACTTGACCCAGGTATATTTAAGGTCAATAAATATTTGTTCAGCAAAATATTAGTCAGACTATGTTTTCATAAATTCCTTTTTTCCCCCTTTTTCACAGAGACTCATACATGTCAGGAAAGAGGCAAAAGGGAAACACAGTAACAGTTCTAGCAATATTTTGAAATTACGACAAATAGATTTCCACTGATTTCCCATCTAAGCAGTGAGAAACGAAACTCTGACAAAAGAAGCATAATGGCCATTAGTGAAAATACAAGAGGGACGTGGTTTGGTTTTAACCTGAGAAAACAAAAAGCTAGATTATAGCACCTTCACCCACATAAAAATGTATTTCTTTGCATCAGAAATTTCATTGACTTTTTCAAAAGCAATCTATGACCTGTTTAAATAAAAGGGTACTTCAGTCTAGTTTTTGGTCCCCATCAGTTGCATGTGCTGGTACCCACCACTCCTGCCAGGAAAGCAGCACAAGGCACACTGAGCTCCAGCACTGTCAGGCAGCCCAGGGGCTGTGCAGCACCTGTGCCTGCAGCACACCTCCCTGCAGCCTGGCTTTGATGTGCCCTCCTCGGGGAAGCATCCCCCCAGCCAGACAGAGCTGGGGCCCATCAAAGCAGCCTTGCTCCCTCAGAATCATGAATCACCTCTCAGGAGCACACTCATGAGAGGCAAGCTCCTTTCTGACAAAATAAAAGATGATCCTATGATGAGTTATTCCCTTCCTCTCCTCCTTCCTTCAGGTAGAAGGCAAACAGTGGGGATGCCTGTTATGGGCTGAAAATAAACACAGCCAAATGCATACAGAAAGTATGCATTACTCAACTCATCAAGAGTCACCTGCTTTCCAATGGAAAAAAGGTGCATTGCACTTGTAAAACACAATGTGATGGAGAACACACCCCCAAGCAGATGACTAATACAGAGACATCGCTGTTCGGCTCTTCTGCTGCAAGAGCTAATGTTTCAAAGAAGAGCACTTTTTCTCTGGACAGCCTGAATGTACAGAGAACCTTCATGAACTCTTTTTGTCTTGTGAACAACTCCACTATTTAAGCTTTCCAGCAGAACTTGGTGTTTTCAATGTTTGAATCAACTTAAGCATTTTTTCCTGTTCTTTCCTCAGCTCCAGATACACTGAGTCTCACTCTGATACCTGGAAATGCCAATCAAACGCCTGTGGTAGTCACATTTGTTAAAATAAGAACAAAATGCAAAAGAATTTCCAAACTGAACTTCAAAGACTCAAAACCACCTGAGATCCATCCCAGCCTCACAACCTCACGCATCTGTCTCCAAATACGAGTGATAATAGAAATCAATTTCCCTTTCTCTGTTTGGCAGTGTTCTCAACACACAGTGGTACAGACCTTCATATATTTATCATTTACTCCTTAAAACTACAAAATATTAAGTGAGTTTGTGATACATATCACTGTTGCAGTATACACTGTCAGCATCTAAGTCCTTTAAAGAAGCTCAGTTGCCACCCCAAGAAAACTGAACACATGTTCCCTTTTCCCTGCTGTTCTCCTAGAGATGCAAAAAAGAGACATCACAATGCAATCCAAACTAAAGATTGTCTGAATTTTGTTACTGCTATACTCAAATATGAACATAATCATGGCATGTGTGTTTTAACTTGCAGCCACCTGTTGTCTCATCCTTCCACTAGAAAAATCTAAGAAACTCCTGCTTTGGATTTACAGCCCCATCATCTGATAACTGCTGGTCTTGATATTTACCCAGAGGGAACAGTAACTGCAGCACAGAGAGTGGACTGATGGGAACAGACTCTTTGGCACCACTAAATACAGCTTCAGAGCAGAAGATTGCCGAGCTAATACACAGGGTCCTACTCCCCTCCTCAACAACGCTAGAAGGCTACAATTCTCCCCCTAACAAGAACCTGATCAGTACATAATTATTACCAACCCTTTTTAATCAACCATTAATCTTCCAGTTTAACAGGTTTCTTTACCCTTCATATGCAATGACAGTCCTGATTAAAACTTTTGGAAAGGTGAAGTAAAAAAAAAAAAAAAGCAAGCATATTCATGTGTACTAGCCTCCTAAGTGGAGGCCAGTGATCCTTATGCATATTCTATGGTTTGCAATGAACTTTCTAAACCTAGACTGATGAGATTAAGATTCAGTATTGGTGAAAACCGTTTCAGTTCATAAAGAAAAATTGAAAGCAGGCATGTGAGAACAGGACGTGCTTAAACTATCTGAGCCACAGAAGCAAACTTTCTTCTCTCCTGTAAATGAAAAAAATAAAAAAAGGCAAGCTGTTTCACAAAATTCCAAAGGCTTAATCCTGTAACAACGACTTTTACAAGTATTTCCATTGAACAGTTTGCATGAATACATATTATTCACATGGGAACTGAGTGCAAACCAGCCTAAAAAAACACTATGAATGCTCTTCCAAAAAATGGGAATAACGCAATTCTCATGAGATAACATCCTCCAAACAATTACTCCAGGTATACCTGATGATAAACAGTACTTCTATCTGAAGAACAGATTCCATACCTACTGTGATCAAAAGTTACTCTTAATTAACAGTGTCACCTAGAGTTACTTTTTGCATTACCTGATTGGGTCGTCCTCCTATAATATTGAAGCCCAAAGTGTCATTTTCTCGGTGTAGCATGATCATCAGTGGTTTGCGCACTCCTCCCTAAGAAGCAAGAAATTAAACACTGATAAAGAATACAGTCTCAAGAAGAAGTTATTAAATGAAAACTTATTGCATGGAAGATTTTTAGCTGGAGAATATATTAAGATAAGGCTTGAAGGAAAACTAGGCTGGAAAGACTTGGCACTGGAGAAAAAAAAAAAAAAACAAAGGAAAAGTCATGATTCGCTGAAAAGTTAGCAGGTAACACCTGATTATCTCCAGTTATCTTCAGCTGAGCAGAAAAAAAGGGCAGGTTTTGGGTGTGAGGAATGCTTGGCACCACTGAAAAGTCAGAGCTCCAGATGTCTGGAAGTCTCTATAAACATAAAATGGCTATAAGTGTTAACACATTAAACATACAGATTAAAATACACAAAATTCTAATTTTCAGACCCCAAAGTCCTACCAGTACACATTTTAAAGCAACTTTCAAAGAACACAGAGAAGCTGAAAAACAGCTCTTTATCCCAAACTTTTTTCTCTCCAAAAAGCATCCAAAACATCTGTAAAAATATAGGTTGTATTCTCAAAAAAAGGCTTAAAATATAAAGCAGACACTGAGAAGCATAAACGGAGTAAAAGTCAAAAATGAAAAAAGAAAAATCTTTTCTTTCAGTGCACCAGGTGAATAATTAAATTTTTTTTTTAAAATTAAAAATTGGAGGCTTTAGCACAGCACTTTTACTCTGAAACACACATTTTATTGTGTGAGGTGTTTTATGCCCCGACGGTAGATGTGAATTTAATTCCGTGTGTTTTTACTGCACGGATCGTTTTCCTCCCCGGCTCTGAGCGGCGATGCCGGGGCGGCAGCGCCCACAGCGCCCCCTCCCGGCGGCGGGGGGAGCGGCGCTCCCGCCCGCCCCGCACCTCGGCCAGCGACAGCACCAACTCCAGGCCCTCACCGCCAGTCCCGACACCTCCCCTTCCTTCTTCTGCCACCGCTTTCCCCCACACCCCACCCTAGCAGTCACTGCTGGCCCTCTCCACATGACCTTATCTCCAAGAGATGAAGCAAGTGTATGAGCACACCTCTCTAAACCTCATGGACCAGCTAACCAGAAGAACCTTAAAAAAAAAATACTCAAGTTTTCAGAGTTCCTCAATGCCACGAAGACCTGTGACCTGTATTCTGAGGCATTCTGGTGTCCTGTGAACAACATCCCGTTTCCCATTTTCCATGCAGCAGGCATATGCCTAGCACACTACATTGCTGCTTCGGGTGTAAGTTTCACTGCTCAGACCTTTTCCACCTGGGATTTTGCTTCCCAAGAGCCCACGTACATTTAGGTAGAAAGAACAACTCTTTGCATTAAAATACTTCTCACCACGGCTGCAATCAGCAATGTCTGAGCCTGCTAGTGAGCTCCCAGGCAGGAATCAAAAACCAACCAGTTCCATCACAGCAAGTGAAGCCAGCTCACCGCAACTCTCGCATGGTTTGTTTTGCCTAAGGAGCGTGTCAGTCTCCGGGCAATGTCCTCAGATCCGAGGGGAGGGCGCAGCACTGCTCCAGCCTCTGCTTATCATCGGCGGTAGCTGTCACACCGTTCTACCAAAGCTTTGCTGTCCTTTCGACATCCTTTCCACAGTCGACAATAATTTTACACTCAAGTTTTTTAAGACAACTTCTCATCTGCTCAAATAAAAGTTAAAAGCCAGCTCCACGCCCCTGAGCTGCCACCAGTACCAGCTGGAGCAAAACCAGCAGCAGGAGCAGCTAGGTGCCTGGAGGCGGAGCGGTCTGATGTGGACACCCTGACCGGAGAGCCAGGACCCGTTTGCCAGCTGCCGGCCCAGCAGCGAAGCCATCTCCCCTCCCGCCCCTACCCCATCCCCTCCGGCCGAGCAAGCGCTCGGTCGCAGCCTCTGCCAAGCACTGCTGGGCTCACCGCAGCACGGGGTTCCGGCTACCGAAGTGGGATAGGCAAGAAGCGTGTTCCCAGTGGAGGTGTTACAAAAATCAGTAAAAATAAAACTCTTCATCTGGCAACAGGGTCCGGCGGCTATATCTCCCTGAAAGAGGAGGCGCACTGCCCGGGGGATGGACAGCAGGATCGGGCTGGGTCCCGAACCGCTGTGGTGGTGACTGCCGGCCCCGGGGGCACAGCCCGCCCCGTAGTTCACTCGGCCGATGGTTCACAAGCCGGGCACAGAAAAGGGAGAAGCAAAGCAGGCTGGAGGAGGGCACAGCCGGAGGGGCGCGGACCGGGGCGC